AGAGGCATCGAAGTCTGTTCGCAGCTTTTATAAGGTATATAGACCTTCTATAAGGCTCCTATAACGGTAACTACCCACCCGAAACTGTCCTAGAACAACATCCTGAACTCGCCAGGCAAAACCTCCACTTCTGCACGCCTGCCTGAAACTCATCACTTTCACGAAAACACCTGAACGCCGAGACGCATCCCCTCCGCGAGCTGGATGAAGCAGGGCTCCCGGGTGTGGCGCAGCACCAGTGACAAGAAGCACAGCTCGGGCACTGAACCCAACCTATGGAGCCACGCTTCAATGCACCCTTGCGGGTGGCAGTGCAAACCCGCACATCTCTCTTGCGCTCAGAAATCAGAAAACCTCTACTTACCTTAGGTTGCACAAGAGCCATCAAACTCCAAGGTAAGGTAGACGGGGAATTGCAGCTCCTGGCCGTGCCAAGAGATTCGGATTTAGTGACCTTTGAGTGAGCAAGGAAGGAGACAAGCGGAGACAAGTTGCAAAGAGAGACATCACACTCACGTACCGCAAAGCCACGACCTGAAAGAGAGAGCCTCCGTCCTGCCAAGCCGGAAACCCGAAAAAACCAATAAATTGATCGCAACTGATGCACGGCTAGACTTAGGCAGGATGCACGGCTAGACTTAGGCAGGTCGCTGCAGGAAGAAAGCTCCATTCGCTGTGCCGCCGCCTGCTGCCAGCACTGACAAAGCCATTTGCAGGGCCACAGCGTCACCTCGCAAAAAGGTACTTGAATCCACTCTTCGGCATAGCCTTGCGTCTTTATGGCTGCAGCCTTTTGCTGCTTCATAGTTTGGGGCATTGATCTCGAATTCTGAGGGCATCCTGGCCTTCCGGGGCTTCCAGTTTCAGGTTCCGGCTCTGAGAAATCGAGTCTGCGGAGCGGCATAGCTTAGAATCCGGCACATGATCTCAATCTTCTAAGCTCTTGCAAGCTCGTCGCACTGCTCCTTGACTTGGCTGGCTTTCAGCAAGGCATCATCACCTGGCAGATCCCGAAGACATGCCGCGAGCTGTGCCGCGATAATGCCGGATGCTATGGTACCACTGCACACTGACCATCTCGACCACAACCACCTCAAGCCTGAAGCATGGCAATCCGGGAAGGCGCCTCTGAGTGCTTAGTACCCACTTTCAAGAGTTCAACCTGCGAGTCTGGGTTAGGTGGCAGGTACAGACCGATGACAATCCTTCAAAAACAGCTCTTGACACGTCGCCTCGCTGTGAGGACTGATAGTTGCGCGAGGTTTGGTCCAGGAAAATGGCAGCCTTCAGTCTCATCCTGCAGGTAGACGGAGCAAATTTACGCCTCTTCATAATGAAACAATTTGAACGGCAGCCTGGCAGATGCAGAAGGCTCCCATCGAGGCCACCACATGCGCCGGAACTGGCCAGCAGCAGCTAGCCGCCGTGCTGGTTCGAGGCAGCTCGCATTCAGCTTGTCAAAGAGCGGTCGATAGGATGCCTTCCTTGCTCCGAACCAGTAGCCTCTGCGCAGGGTCGCTGTCTAGACGGCAAACGGAGACGCTGTGTTTGGGCGAAAAGCTGGCGCCTGGGATGGACTGGCCCTGCTCAGCCTCCAACGGAAACCAAGCCTCGCAAAACACCGACAATCCGGTGACCCAGTCCGACTCGGCATGCTCCATACCATCCGGCCGAGGCCAAATATGAGAGGCTCCTGTCTGACTCTCAACCTGAACTGCACTCGAAGTGACTTGACTGCAGTTTTCTCCTCAATGGCCCTCAGCGATGTCAAAACATCTTGAGAGACAAATGCCACCAGTATTCCAAGGGCATGAATGAAGCGATGACTCCCCTGTGCTCGCCGCTTTGTCCAGACAGCCTGGATTGCACTGCGCTGTCCTAGGAAAGAACGCTATCAGACTTTCAACCTCGCATGTCGCACGATTTGCACCTGGTAACATGGGTCTTGGCGTTCCAATGCGCGCATTTTTCTTTGTCCTGCGCTTCTTCTCTGGATTGGGGGGCTCAGCGCTGTCATGAAAAAGCTGCTCTTTCAACCTGAGCGGAACTGCCTTGCATTTGGTGCTTTAAGCATTGACAGTCGAACCTCACGTCGCAGGACTGGGAGTACCCCTAAGCTGGAGCCCGGAGCAAAAGCCCTCCATGCAGGTTCAACACTATGTTCTCGGAAGCCGAACCCTAGACTTCGTCTCGGAAGTAGAAATCTCAGTAATGGGCAGGTCCATCAGCAGCGGCCCACAGTCTTTCGCAGCTCCTCACAGGAATGGGCATCAGGCAGATCAGGGCCAAGGTTTAGCGTGTGTTGGCTGTTTCGGCAGTAGTTTCCCCTTCCATCTGTCTCTCGCAGACCCCTTCTTCCGCATACGCCTGGTACGAGTGCCGCATCCGGAGAAGGCAGCTGCTCGAGGAGCCTGGACAGGCTTTGTGCCAGAGAGAGTGAGAGAGGAGAGAGAGAGAGAGAGAGAGAGAGAGAGAGAGAGCGAGAGCGAGAGCGAGAGCGAGAGCGAGAGCGAGAGCGAGAGCGAGAGAGAGAGCGAGAGCGAGAGCGAGAGCGAGAGCGA